GTATTAACAGGAAATTGGTGAAACATATTTCCGTCTTCAAGGATATATCAAAGGACATAGTGCGGCATCGGCGACGAACACAGTTAAGAGAGAGTCATTTCCATATGCAGATGAACTGTACTGTATAAATGTCTCCTTCAAGCTGGTGTGTGTTGCACGATTGTTAACGATTACGAAACATACATGCCAAACATATTGTGTTGTTCTTCTATTAACTTATGTTGTTTAGTAGTACAATTATATACATATATAAAGTTGTAACAACAATGCATTAGGAAAAAGAAAAGCTATTTGTCAATCATGTAGGAATACGTTCAAATGTGTCGTTTTTCCTTTCTTTCTTTTTTTTTTCATTGCATAATATTATGTAGATAGAAAAGAGATAATATGTTCTCGGACACGACAGGTGGTCATCAGTTTCTTTTTTAAATTATTGATAGTTGAATAGATATATATATGTTGCAGAAACAGCTGGATTTAAAGATAATGGTGATGTCATTTGTTATTTTGTCTTCGTTTTCTTTTTCTTTTTTTTTGAGAAATTCAATAAATATATGCTTTTTGTCTTTCAATGTATACTGATACATTTCGAATATACAAAGATCAACTTGTCGTGTCATGCTATGTGTGAATATTGATTTGACAAATGTAAAAGAACAATAGAAATATTGGTAGTACTTTATTTTGCTTAGAAAAATGTCTGATATAGTACTGATCGATTGTCAATAGCGATGAAATGTAACACTTGAGTAAAAGTAAACTAAAATCATAATCTACAAGTGCGAATATTCAATCACTATTGTCACGAATTTACATTGAATTTTTTTTTCACACATCATATGTGATGAATAACAACACTTACATGGCTTTCAGACGATTATTGAATTTGTTCAAATAAAATTCTATATACTTATCATATAAAATGAAATGTTGTTTTTAAAAATATAATTCAACTATTGTACTTTTAATAACTGTCGAGTCACATACATACACAAAAAAAAAAAGAAGTTTATGAACAACCAGATTTGTATGTTTTTCATTAAGACCATAATAAAAACAATTGAGATGTAGACATAGAAAGAAACAAAAAGGTAAAATATTACATTGATATCGAAATGCAAAGATTTTTGAACATAATGTGTATGTCCAATGATAATATAACATGAAAGGTTGATTTTTATATAGGTTTTTAAATAAATATTACAAAGTTTCAAAGTACTTATACCTTCGATTAAATTAGTAATTGAAAAAGTTTTATACGAAATCAAATTTAATGAATCAATGACTATTATTCATCTATCGAAAATTTTGAATGTTGACATTAAAACATTTAATTATACTTCTGTTTGGAATAATGATCATAGAACTATATTGTATCACTATTTATTTTGTCAGATACATGATCATATTGACCTTCTACACATCTTGTCAGTAGATCCTGATAAAACTCAAAATGAACCATTTTTATTTCTCTGCTTATTAAGCCTTTGATAGAACACTGATTGAGTATGGCCTTCGTGAAAAGTTGTGAAGGTTTTAATTGATTATTATTGAAGTAATACTATTGAAATCTTCTAATTGGTCTGACACTAAAGAAGGATCATTTTTATTTATTATTCAAAAAATAATATTCATTGTTTCTTTGCTAAAGATAGATTGAAAAGAACTTGAAATAGTGTTAACTTTAATTATGTAAACAGAGTCTCCTTTCAACTGGCGTACTCTATTCGGTTTCCAATTTTTGCCAAAATTGATAAGATTCATCGTATAAATAAGTAATGATCATTTTGACTGATTTTTCAAAGAATTGTAGAGTATTACGAGAAAAACTAAATTGTAGAATTTAAACCTAAAATTTTGCCTAGAAATGAATGATTTTTTCTCAAAATTATTGAATATTTCAAAATTAATTGAACTTTTTCGAATGTCAATAAAAAGAATTTTTCTCTAAGAATATGTTTTCTAATATTATATTTATTAATGAATTGTCACACAAATAAAATGACTAGATTATCTGACATCACAAAAAAACAAGAAAAATTCTATTCATAAAGGTGCTAAACGAGTTGTAGTCAACATTTTTTGTTCGTCTGTTATACCTGGTACAAAAACACATGTTGTCCATGTATTTTCAAGAAAAAAATGATGATCTAATAAAAATTTATATCCATCTATTTGATAACTTGAACAAACTACATATAAAGATTGATATTGTGTTTCTTCAGATATAACTCGACGACATGTTTGTAAAAGATTATGAGCAATTTTTTCATGTCGATAATTTTTTGTTACAAATAAATGTGTTATTAATGCTGATTGTCGTTCAGATGGATGAGAAGAAAAACAAATAAATCCAACAATATCTTGTTCATGCATAACATTATCATCTTCAACTGTTATAACAGCAACAAGTATACGTCGACGTGATAATTTATCCGTATATTCAATATATGAATGTTGAAATGGTGCTTTAATTTTATATTTTAATTTTGTAATACGATAAGTAATAAATGAAGTTATTAATGCTGGTGGAATTAAAAATGAAACAAGAAGACGAGAAAAAATAAACATTGATATAATAATACAAATAAGAAGAAGAATAAATGTAAATCGATTACGAAAACACGCACGAGATAATGGTGTAAGAATTTCAACACGTTCTTCAGTACATAAACGTTGAATATCAAAACGATCAGATAGTGTAAAATTACGAATATGATATGATGTACGACCAGATTTTGTTTTTAAAATTGAACTTTTTATTGCTGTACAAGGCTCCATATTTTCTACAATCAATAAATAGAACATGAAATTTTATTATCTATTTGTTTATTTACTAAGTCTTAAAATCGATTCTTTCGAGCTTATATTTTACCGATTGTTAGAATTCATTGTGCAGATAAACATTTAAAATGGGTTTATGCCATAAGTACTTCCTTCCTGAGTGTGATGTCGATTTTATTGAATTTTTAGTATTAAAATTTCTTGAAAGAGTTCTCCTCATGATATTTTGTCATAGACTGAAAATTCAGTAAAATGATTGTCACTCAAGAGAAAAGTACTAATGGCATATATCGATTTAGGTTTTTTATTTTCATAGAATATAGAGCATTTATTAACTCTCCAAATGACATCAGAGGTTTTCACATTTTTATTCTTAACTAAAATTAAACTAAAGAAGAAATGTGCTAAGTATAACAATACGTATACCTTCGAAGACTATACTAGATATCAGTCTTGTTGTTTACTAAAATAGTATGCAGACAGCTATTAATCTTTTAGGCTATGTATTTGGTCTTATAAATAAAACTATTAATAATGAAGGTCACTATGTATAATGTCGTAATACAATCGAATCGTACTCAAGCTTTTTTTATGTTATTGATGTGTTGCAAAATAGTTTCTGTCAAAATATAAGTTATGTTGTAGAGTTTATCTATAACAAATATTATCTTTGTTCAATGTTAACTTGTTGTGTTAGACAAAATAATACTAAAACTGATATTCTTTGATTTGACTCAAAATTTATTATACACGTCATATAAAATTAAAGATAAATTTCATAACAAAAAAGATAAAGTGTATTATTAAGTTTGAACTAAATCGCAGGATGTCATTTTTAGTATTTGTTTTATTTGGGACAATAAGTTAATATTTGTTGTAGATAGCTTTGTAATAGGACTTAGATTTTGATAAAAAATTACATGTCAATATGTTGAACTTCTCTTAAGATATTACGAAAACAAAATTATCTATCGGATGTATGATCAATTTTTGTTAAGTACCAAATTGATGAAATCTCTTTATTAGATTCAGGATTTTTCATAAGTTTTGAACTTCGACGAAAAATGATTTATATGCAAATAAGCAATGATCTCTAGCTGAAAGTGTCAATTAAGAGATTCGAGTACTCATACTGATCTTTCATATAATATAATATTAAATAACATCTTCTCTTTTAATAATTATCATATAAATAGAAGAATATAATACTCGTGTTTTTTTTTATTGAATCATAAGTCACTGATCAGTCCGAGAATATCCTGAATATAGATGTACGGGTCCAAGTTTTAGTCTTGATCTCGATGGCCGGAATTACTAGAAAAAAAAAGTAGCCCGAATCAGAAAAACAAGTATTGAAGAATTTCTGTTTTTCAGATGTGATACCAGAACAAACAAAAGTTAGTCTCGTATATCTCTAATTCTGAAGACAAAACGATTCAACATGAATTAAAGTACATGAGTACATTGTGTGAAACGTAATAATAAAAACACTGTACGAAATGAAAACTTTTTATTTTATCACCAATGTTCATATCTTTCCCTTAGTTTTCATATGGTTCATCCATTCATTTAAGCTATAGTTTATGAATAAATATCTATGCAAAAAAATTTATAGAAGAAATGAGTAAGACAGTTGTCAAGTTTTATTCAGTTAAAAATTACATTAATAATTATTTCTAAAAGCCTTAGCGGATTGATCATAAATGATAAAGAATAAATACATGACAGTTAACTGACATTTTATGGATAATTAACTTATTATACGAATCAGTTAAATATAGGATTTTTCTTTTTAATAAAATCTTGTTATTTATATCTATTGTTAGAACAAAAAAAAAAAAAAAATTTACCTAATATTATCTTATTTGAAACATTGACACAATTAATCAAACTTCATATAGATACATTAGAGATCATTTTTTTCCATATATATATAAATTAATTTTAGTTAATATTTAGAGTTTATCAAATACTATGTATACCACAAAGATATTTGCTTTGTTTCATAAAAACTAAGATGAAAAACAAAAATTTGTTATCTAAAATTAAAACATCGAATAAAAATTTCAAATATCCAACAAAAATAATATTCTTTATTTATTTTGTAAGATCATTGACATTAAACAACAACAACAATAACGAAAAAAAAGAAACCAAATATTAAATTTTCTTATCTTACACACCGAATAATTTTTTTTCTTTTTCGGTTTCTTATTTTAATTAACAACTTTAGGTACATGATCATTAAGTGAATAAACAGCTGAATTTAAAACATCAACAATACGATTTAAAAATGAATAAAGTTTATCACTTGTTTTTTCACGTTGTTGTTTTTGTTCTTCAAGTATAACACGAAGTGTTTCACGTGCTTGATGTGGTCGTAATTCATTTATTAAATGATGAATATTTATAAAAAGTAATTCAATTTCATGTAATTTTTGTTCACGTAATGTTATATTTCCACTATCAGTACTTGGTGTTACTGTTGAACGTGAAACAATTTGTAATAAATCAAGATAATTTGTTAATATAGCAAAACATAATTTTTTTAATTCACCTTTATAATCATCAGAACGTGTATAAACACGTTGAATTTGTTGAGCTGCTAATGAACGTATTATTGGTTCAGTATGATCAATACCATTAACATAAAGACCAAATAATTCATAAGGACCCTATAAAAAAAAAAAAAAATTATATTAAATAATCAAGCAAAATAATTTTACTTCAATAGGTGGTGGTGGTTGTAAAATTTTATTATTTTGACGAATATTATCATCACTAAATAGTTCAATATAACTCATTGGAGGTAATGGAAATGCACTACTTAAAAGAGGTGGTGGATCCATAAATAATAATCTATCTAAAATAATACAATCAAAATGATGCTATTGATTATTATTGATTGTCGGTTTTTTCATCATTATCATTGTTGTAAAGGCGAATTTTTATTGGATATTTAAATAATTGTCGCTACTTGTATGTAATTTAGGAAAAAAAGCGACACATAGGATGTTACTATAAATGAAGTAGTGTTATTTATAGTTAATGGTGGATTTAAGATTTTGGGAAAGAGGCAAGACGATCATAGTTATAAAAATGAGTTTCGAAGTTCATTAGAGGTCGTATTGACTTGTTTTTTTTTTGCTGAGAAAAATATTTCAAAGCTTAACCGTTCAAGAAACTGTTGAGTTCCCATGAAAAAGGACTTAAGTCCATTGTTTGAATATGGTCACAAGAAAAGCTACTCCTCTATTACACACTATTCAATAATTTGGATTTGATAAAATAAACAAAATATTTCGGTTTCTTTTGAATTCGATTAATGTATTCTAAATGTTGGAAAGATCAGCGTTGATTGTAACTTTATAAAATAGAATCATTACCGATCGGTCCATTTTTTTTACTTAATTCGTTTTTCGCTGATGTTCAAGTCTATTTCCTTAAAAAAAAATATATATCAGACTATTCTATAAAGTAAAATTTATTATAATACATGTTTATCAACTTACTTTGATATCAAATTATATTATTGAAATATAAGTCAAAATAATTGACATTTTCTACTATTTATAGACGCTGATTCAAGAAAAGCTGATTTGATTATTCGAAAAGGAGAAAATTGAAGAATGAGTTCATGCTAGTTAACCATTACATTTTGATCTGATGTAAGTGTGTTGAAACTGATAAGAGTGTGGAAAAATAATCTGTATCCATTAGAACTTTGTTATGAAATCCGATATCTTCTGATTCTATTCAAGGTATAATAGTCAATCTTTGCAGTTTTTAAAGGACGATCTGACAGAAAATAATTCGCATTATCTATTTCTGTGCATAGTGTTTCTCGTTTTTATATAACTCACGAGAGAAGTCTCTTAAATGATTCATCACCTTTGAATTGGCGTTATGTGGACCTTCATAAACTATGAATACTCTAATAAGACTTTGAGCTCTCACTTTATTATTGCAGAGATGCTATATTTTTAGGGGAAGGTTAAATAGACCTTACAGAAAACAGTTTATTATGAAAATCTCAGATCTTTTGATTGGCTCCTATGGTGAAATAAGAATATTAAGTCTACCGGCGTATATGCACGATATCAAATACATTTTTGTGTACTCAAAAAGTGAGTACACTCTAGAATCGGTCAGTGTGTCCGTCCGTCCGGCCGTTAACACGATAACTTTTGAAAGGAGAGTCCAATCGCGATGAAATTTTCTACACAGTTCAGTCTTAACAATGTCTCGGTCGAGTTCGAAGATGAGCAGGATCCGTCAAGAAATGGCTGAGTTATCGAAAAAATTGTCATTATTGAGAAGATCATCCCTGAGGGGGAGTACAGGGATTTTTTCAAAAAAAATATTTTTCTCAAAATTCTTCACAACATATATAAATCGACTCAGTTTTTAACGCTGATTCCGAATCTGATATTAGTTTTGAACCAAATTGTAGCCTTCTAACAGAACATCGCCTGAAAAAGGTCTCAAAATGCACAAAAACTGCATCCAGAAACCAAATTGCCTAGATGTGTCTCAGATGACCAGTAGTTTTGAGGTTTCCCAAATGCCTGATTTTCTAGCTAGTCAAAAGGACTATCGAAAGGTAAAAACCCTAACTCGATAGCTATTAATATTTGTGATCTATTAGGAAAATACTGATGCGTGTATCTATTATATATCTCTTATAGATTGATGAGGTTGTTTACGATCGTAATCCTGGTAGATACAAACGCAAATTCATTCAAAAATAACTCTTCTTACCCAGTTTTCCAAGTTAAACACGAATCTGAACTCAATTCCTGTGATTTCTAAAAATATTATATCACTCTGAGAGTAGAGTCAGTGGTCACCGGATAGGGTCGCATACAGTATGGTCCATGCTAACTTAGCACGCCTGTATTTTCTCCTTGCAATTTAGTGATAAAAAACACAGTGAATATACCTTTTCACTTTTTGAAGTACACATAACACTCGGATTTAAATCCGAGGTTTTCGCATTTATTTTATCTTACAATAAAAATGACGAAAAGGTCTAAAACTTTCACCATAAACTATTCTCAGTAAGACTTGTCTCGGTGCACAATATCAAGTGAATACTCGAAAATAAGTTTTCCTGATACCTTGTAAGAGGGATTAAGGCATTGGTCTAAAATTTTTCTGTAAAAATTTAATATTTTCACAGTAATAAGCTAAGGCTTAAAACTCTTTTCAGAATATTCATAGCTCATAAGGTTCTACATAGTCTCAATGCAAGAACCCCGATTAATTAGCTAAAAGACTTTCCATGTCAGATTAAAAAAATGAATTAAATAAATCAAACAATAAGAATTTTTTCGACATATTTAAAAATTAATCTCGATCCTGCCTATTATATATATACAATAACAAACAATTTTCCATACTAAATATTTTTCTTAAGCCTATAAAAAAAAAAACAAAAGGAAAATCATTTCATTAATCATAATCGTTTTCTAATTAGAACTGCAAACCAAAGTAATACTGTTAATAAGCATGTTGTTAATCGTTGTACAAATGTTCTTTTACCATTTCGACATTTTCCATATACAAAATTCATATATAAATCAAATTGTTTTACAGCTAAAGGATCTTTTTCAAATGGATATGTTGCTCCAAGTTCATGTGCAGCTGCTAAACCTGATATACATGCTATTTCATGTGTATTAAACATTGTATATGCACCAGCATATAAAATATTTGAATTTTCTTCTTGAATAAAACGTATTAATGGAACAGTAAATAAAAAATGTTGCCAAACATGAGCAAATTGTCTCCACCAACGTTCAAGTATAATTTTATTTTTATCTAATTTTTCAATAGTCCATTTTTTCGATTCGAATTTATTTAAAAATATTGTTTGAAATATATTTAAATTCGGATATTTTTCACGTTTTAATCCTATTAAATGTGGTTGATAATTCGATAAATTAAATGACATTTCTAATGGTTGATGAGAATCATTTATATTTGTATAAATAAAATATTGATCAAAATCAAGATGAACAGTATAATATGTATTCATATAATTAAGATCTATATGTGTATAAGTAACATCATCATAATATCGAATATTTCCAAGTATAGCTTGTTGATATCGAGTTGATTTTTCATTAATTTTAAGAATTGTTTCAGCATCACATGCAAATATAATAACATCAAATGAATTATTAAATTGATTTGAATTTGTATAAACATTTGTTAATGATACTTTTTTAATTGTTTGATTAAAATAAAATTTTGTTTGATTATGACTTATATGAATACATTTATCAACTAATGATTGATATATATTAGATAATTTATCAAATGCAAACATATCAACTTGTGATGAAAGAAAACATTTTGAATTATAATCAAATAATTTTAAATCCGGATCAAAAAATATACGTGCTATTAATGCTGAACTTACATTTTTCGTTTGATTACCTGTACCAAAAAATAGAGCTGTTAATGGATAAAGCATTGCATTTGTAAAACAAGATGAAAGACAAAAAAGACGAACTGTTAACCAAATAGGTATAAAAATAAAAATAGGTTCAAACCAAGATATTAATTTTAAATAACGACCAAATCGTCCTATTTCTGATTCAAGTTGTTGAATTTCGATACCATTTGTATCCGATGGTAAATAATTTGTCCATGCATGAGAATTTTGTCCAAATGAAACACGCATATGTACAGGACTTGGATCAAAATTAACTTCACGATGAAGTAATATAGTATTTCGATAACTTGATGAACCACCTTGAACACCATCATTTATATCACAGAAGACACCAGGCATAACTTCAACATGTTCAGTTGTTGCAACACCACCTGCTTGAGATTTTTTTTCATAAACTGTTACATCAAATTTATCTGGATATCGAGATAATGACCATGCAGCTGACATACCAGATACACCAGCACCAATTATACATACTTTTGTTTTTTTCATTACTAAAAATTCAAATAATAGGTTAAACAATATTCAAAAGTCGAATATTAAATATTTCATTGTGAGAAGAAATTATTTTCCTTCATCAAAGACTTTTTTTTTTGTAAAGAAATAAGCAAAATCCATTCCAATTTATTTCTATCTACATTACTAATGAGGGTAATGGTCTCAACTGTCTAATTGTCTTTTCGATTGATCATGATAAGTGATATAAAACTCTGTTTTAGTTTTTCAGTATGATTGAAGTTCGAGCTGGAATTTTGTTTACAGATGATTGTATTTCCAAATACGAACATTTATTCTATGATAAGTGCATACCTTGATACAAATACGTTTGTCTAAACTCAAACTTTGACGATGTTTTCTAGTGATTGTAGAACTTTTCTATGCAAAAAAATTTCAACTCGAAACTCGATCATAGCTCAACAAACAAAGATCGTAAAGTCAAACTAAAATAAACTTTTTTATTACTCATTATGACTAATCTAATAGCAATAGTTTCAAGAAAGAAAGCAATTGAGAAGTCGAGAATGTTTCCTGATATGAGCAGGGTAGGGTAAGGATTAGAATTCCTTTGGATTCAAAATTTTTGAAACCGAAAAAATTCGATATACTCTAGTTAGACTACATTGTACATTTTTAGTTATGAGTAAGAATTTTTGAATAGAAAATTGATATTTACAAAATAAAGATTTTGTGTTCGAACAAATAAAACTTGTACTTGAATGTAAGAAGATTTTTTAATTTTATTCAAGATTAACTAGAATAAATCCTTTGTTATTTATGCCAATTTTAACTCAAAAAATAAAAATCATATCATTTTGATTTCTAAAAACGAACCAGCTTGTTTCATCTATCTTTATCAATCTTGAAGTTTTGTAAACAATAAAAATC